TGAGGCCCATTAATCCCACTTGTACACATGCTCTAAAAAATGAAGTGTTGACTTTACAACACCAAGTTATGTGGATATGTGTAAACTGTATGTATATGTGGAAAGACATCCTGTAGTCATGGAGAAGATGTCGGACAGTTTGAGAAGGGTCCAATCATTGGCATCAAGCAGAGAAAACATCTAAGCAGATTGCAGGAACTACTAAAACTGGGTTAAAAACTGTCTAACACAATATTAAAAACTGGAAGGGTAGTGGACCCATCGTCTTCGAGGATGCACCCATCATGCCTACCTCCTACTGTACAGCCTGTGGGGGCAGGTCTACGATCTGGAGTTGCTTCAGTTGGTTAGGTCTAAGAAGGTTATTGAAACAATGCCACAGCTGTGAGGATGTGCTGTCTGGTGTTTTGTGTTATCTATGTGTTTTGAATCCTTTGTTTCTTGTGCTCTGCCTCTCTCTTGTGTTCTTGGTCATCAGTCTTCTTTTCCTCATTCAGCTCCACTCTCCTGTCAGTCACTCACCTGTCCATAGTTTTGTAATTAGTCTTTCTCCAGGTGTTCCTCATCTTCTCTCTCCCTCTGTTAGTATCCAACTGGTCTGTTTTCATTACCTCGCTGGTTCATTGTATGGATTCATCCATCAGTCTTGGTCCTCTGTCTCCCTGTGGTTCCCTGTGTCTTGAGTTTTATGTAAGTSTTTTGCTGCCACGACAGCCTTTGTTTTATTTAATAGTTTTATTTTTGTGTTTTTTGTGTCTGCATGCTCSTGGGTTCATTCACCTTCACACCTCAACAACAACAAATGTATGCCATAGTCAAAGCTAAAGGTGATCAAATTAAATATTAAAGTGTTTGACCATTTTTTTTTTACCAGGCAGTGTGTATTACTGGTTYATTCAGGGTACAATTTTGGTACTTATAGGGTAGCTAAAGGATAACATACAGGGTTCATACAGGATACTTACCAAGAAATATATAAAGAAAAAACTTGTTAGGTCATTARAGCTGTGGTTCTGCTCCAGAACTGTAGTTCGTATTTAAATTTGTTTTGTGCCAACAGCAGGGGTGCAGGGATGAGAATTTGCTGCCCCCCTCCCAGTGGCCCCCCAGTTTTATTCTCATGAGTACCCGGGTTTTTCCTTTTTCAATTCTCCTGCTATTTAGGAATAAATAGGGGACAAACTTTGATTTCGTAACAATTAAGAGTTAAAAACATTAATTCATATTTTATTTAAAATATATATATAAATAAAATTAAAACGTAGCTCCTCTGAACACGGACAACCAGTCTAAAACCAATGTTCTCAAACAAAGACGGAAGTTCTCAGGAGGTATTATTTATAGG